ACATATATCTCAAAATGTCACCATACTTAATGATGTGTCGAAATTTTAAAGATTTTTTAAAACCCACAGAATATTATGGGGTTGTCAGTCATTCCTGTTTATTCTACGTATTTTAACACCTATGCTGTCATTCCACAGGCTGTATTAGAAATAATACAATAAACAATATTAGTAGCACTGCAGCACTGGAAACAATGATTTGAGACAAGCCCAAGAAAAAGTAGAGGATTTCAAAATATAATGCTTTAACCATACCTTCATCATAAGGCAAGGGAAGGCAATCTCTGACTGGTTTCTCCCACCACTGAGAATAACTGGGGATGGCAATTGTAAATTTTAATTCAATTTTAATTAAAATGTTAATAAAAAATAACAATCTATTTGAAAAATTATTATAATGACTTTTTTTTAACAAGATAGCATTTTGTCAAAAGTAACACCTTTTATCAGAGTGCAGAACAAATATTCAATTTATCATTTTATGAAGTGTTCTTTAGATATACCAAACAGATAAACCGACACCTGTTAATAAATAACATACCCTTTACCAAAAACCAATGATATTTTGAAAAACTAAATTATGGGTCTACATGTTCTTAATATTATTTTTCTTTGGGTATTACCTTCATTATTACAACACTGTGTGCAACAATCACTTAATCGCAGCAAACAAACAACAAACCTTTTGTTCAATTTTGAATTCATCACCAAAATGGACCCAGAGCCCTCCTGATCTAAAACATCTAGGCTACAAAGATACGTGACAATACAAAACAAGCTGAACCATCAAGTCAAGGGTTATTTCTCAATATGTTTCAGTGGCCAAAGAGCTGCTACCTCTATCCATACTAGTGGTAATTATTCTATCTGGTAGTAAAATGTCAAGATCGTAAAATTATTTTGCCATATTTAAGACTTTGAAAGTCCACATTAAAAAAAAATCACAGCTATTGAGATAATAACCCTCACTTGTCATGTTACATTTCAAGCCAGCAATATACTCCAAACTGCGCTACATAAGAAATGGCCCGTGCAAGTGAAAGCTTAGTGAAATACATCAAAATAAAGCACCTGTGATGCATTAATAATAAAAATGTCATCTCAAAACACAGCAATTATGCAAAGCGACAGTGTAAAATCAAATGCATTAATGCAGACATATAAATTTAAATAAATGAATAGCCCCTCAGCCAAGATTACTTCCCACAAGATGTTTCAGGACACACATACACCCAAGCTCAAAACCATAATTGGAGTGTATAAAAAATAAAAAATAAAAAATTTTTAATTCTTATGCTGCTGTACCTGCGTTGATTTTTAGGAAATCTCCCCATGGCCAGACAGTTGTGAAGGTAATAGTCAGTGGACAGGTCCCAAATTGCTGCATGTCCTTTCTGTGGTTGAAATACCCCCAGAAATACATTGATAGCATTCTGTTTTTCATTGTCTGTTACAAATAGAAAAATATTTATAATTATATAAACATTTTGATCAAAGTCAAGTTCAAGTGATAGGATAGCTATATGTAAAATAAAACACTTAAAAACTCCTCTCCTCTTTTTCTATTTCAGTATGCATGGGTCTTCTTATATTTACTTAGCAATATGCATCAAATATTTCCATATATTGTTAAATTTCCTGAATATTGTTGGAGTTTCTATCCCCCACCCTCCTTCCTTTCAATGTGTTTCTCCTACCTGAGAATGTGTTGCTGTAGTATCTGGAGAGGGTGTGCATGATGTCCCTGGAGTGAGAGGTCCATGGGGCAGTCTTCCTGTACGTCTCTATCCTGTGGACGAGCTGGGAACCACCATACTGTAGAGCCAACACATCACCGTGGTCTTCATAAAGCTCCTCAAGCATTCTAGACCAGAGAGAATTAGATTTTACTGTGTGTTTTTCCTTCTCTGCAAATGTGCATGATAATTCTTATAGCAAAATATTGCTTTTAGAATTCTATGTTATCTATAAAATACTCTTTTGATTTCAATTTCTCATGTGTGTAATAATTCTTATAGCAAAATATTGCTTTTAGAATTCTATGTTATCTATAAAATACTCTTTTGATTTCAATTTCTCATGTGTGTAATATTTCTTATAGCAAAATATCGCTTTTAGAATTCTATGTTATCTATAAAATATTCTTTTGATTTCAATTTTTCACCTGGTGCAGTCAGTGTCAAATTCCAGCTCAGGTTTGTGTATCACTCCCAATGCGTACAACTGAAACAAAATATCAAAAATAAATTGAGATCCTTTGTAAATATGATGTTAACGTTTTTGATAAATAAGGATTGAAGAGTTAATTAAATTAATTAATATACAATGTTTTGTGATATTTCCAGCAAAAACTAGAGGATCAGAGAGGCGATACCGCCTCCGAATATTGTACCACCAGCCGGAGCAAGCGCATTCGTATAGACCCCCACATACACAAAGTAAGGGACACAGCCACCAGTGTTGTGCTTGACAAGCTGTAAAAATGCAATCAACAAGAATTTTCAAAATATGCAAAAAATATATATAATTTAAAAAGGTACAATCAAAGTTAATTCATCGTAAGGTAGGTCAAGGG